GGGGGGCGCAATGAAACAGAGTGGCCAGAAACAGACCTACACATACACGGTTACCCAATTTATGACAAAAGTGAAAGCATAATTCAGTAGGAAAAGGACAGTCTGTATAATAAATTTTTCTAAACAAAAAAAAATTACCGAGAAGAGTGGCCTTGTTTTGCATTTTTACAAATTTCTTTAATGTCTCAGCTTAATAGAAAACAGCTGGATCCTTATAACTGCTACTACATTCAAACTGGTACGATAGTCAATTTGTGCTTTGATTTTTTTTCTACATCCAATATGATTTTGTATTAGTTTCAGGTGTATAGCATAGTGGTTAGACAATCATATACTTTACAAAGTGATCCTCACAATATTTCTAGTACCCACCTGGAGCCATACATAGTTATTACAATATTATTGACTATATTCCCTGTGCTGTACTTTACATCCTCATGACTATTTTGTAACTACCAATTTATACTTCTTAATCCCTTTACCTTTTTCATCCAGCCCTCCAACATCCTTCCCTTCTGGCAACCATCAGTCTGTTCTTTATGAGTCTGTTTCTATTTTGTTTGTTCAGTTAGATTCCACATATAAGTGAAACCATATGGTATTTATCTTTCTCTGTCTGATTTGTTCCACTTAGCATAATACCCTCTAGGTCCATCCATGTTGTTGCAGATGGCAAGATTTCATTCTTTTTATGACCAAGTAATATTTCATTATATACAGGGTATTGCAAAAAAGTGTATACACACTTTGAATAATTATAAAGACAGTGCTTATTAAAATACACTTCATTTTCAAAATCAGCTATTAAATAGAAATCAGCTATTAAAGTGTATATACATTTTGGGGATATATATACTAATTACTGAACACCTGCTCCTTACTGTCGTATAGTGACCCTTTGAAGTCCCAAGGCACCTCAGCTCATCCTCAGCTCAGAATGCCCTATATGCATACCTCACTTTAACTTTCTGTCCCTGAACCTCTCATGTATGTGGACTCTCTCTCCCCTGTATGTGGGGTTCTCACATACATGCATATAACAAAATTTGGTTCTTTTCTCTTGTTAATCTGTCTCATGTAGATTTAATTATTAAACCAGTCCAAAGAACCTAGGAGGGTAGAGGAAAGTTGCTCCCCTCACCACTACCCCACAGTTGGCACTGCGAACAGGATAACTCACTGGCTGGGCACTGCTTACCCTGAAGCTGCTACAACAGAAAGATCCTCATACAGCTAGCAAGCCCAGAAAAGTAAGAACACTTACCAGATCAGACTCCCCAGTTTTCTACCAGCACAGTCCAGTGGGACTAGAGTGGTGAGAGTTCTTTCTATTTTCCTTTTCTAAATTTAGATTAGCAGGAGAAAATATTTGTAAAACTAATTTCTTGGGCTTATCCATGTTTGGTTATTTGGTATGAGTACTTATGGGTTTTGTTAATTCTGTTTTTCTCTCTGTGTCTGGTGTCTCTCTTTCTGTCTTGTCATGTGCACTGAGAGCTTGGTCTTATGACCAATAAGAAGTTTCTCTCTGGCTTCCACTATCTAGAGGTTGCACTTGCTTGTGTGCACCTTGCTCTCTATCTGGCCAGGCTAAACTCTCAAGGGAGTTTTCTATGTCTATCCACTGCCTCCCAGAGATGGTAAAAACAGGGCCCCTCATTCTTGTTTTCCACTAGTTGGAGAATTTATATGCATCTGGCAGGCAGCCAAGTGGGCTGTGGATTTGAGCTTAGATAAATCTAAACACCCCATTCAGAAGGGGGGAAACATGATTCCCTGTATTTTGGAATGGCTGTTTCTAACTCTGGGAGTCAACTTTATCTTGTGAGGGTTGCATCTTTTTGCACTCTCCTTTGGGGATGTCTCTTACATCCAGAATATTGGTTTGAGTCACTATTAAGATCCCAAGGCCAGAAAATAGGCAAATTCTTTGAATTGGAAAAAATTCTAAATTAAAAAGAAAGAAAAAATTTTTTAGAGAGCTCTCATGTTGTTATAATGGCTAGTCATTAAGATTCCCTTAATAAGATGGAGGGACAGGAATTAGAACAAAAATCAAAGTACAATCAGAAACCTTCCTATTT